GACTGTACCCAGTGCTTGTATAAATAAATAAAACAAACAAACAAATAAATAAATAAATCTTTAAAAAAAAAAGAAAGAAAAATAGGGTAACAAAACGTGGTTTGGGTTTCATCATATTAAGATATCACGTAAGTAATGACTATGGCCTAAATATGTAGCTGCAGTTATAGAATTTGCAAGTAAAGGTGATAGCAATGAGTCTTAAAATATCCAGAAACAGTCTGGATTTTATATTTACTCTGCCATGGTAAAGAAGCTGGATGGTCAGATCATAAGGCCATGGACAAGAAGCAAGCAGCAAATATTCAGCAGTAGTAATTAGACCGGGTCAGATTAGGTAGGAAAATGAATGTCATCTGAAATAATCACGTACTTTGAAATGTACTATGATCCAATCATACTGAACTTCTTTCATTTTTCTTAAATCATGTATTTTGTCAACTCCAGCCTACCTCCCATATTCTTTTTATTTCCAAATCAGAAACCATTTCCTCCCTTTTTATCTAACTTCTAAATTTTCTGATCTATGCTTACATGCCTCTTCCTCAAGAGTTCCAGAAAGTCTCCTTTATTAGTTATTCATGTTGCATATTTCCAAAGTAATCTTCATTGTCTCTTATCAGTACTCTTACTAAAAATTATGATTATTATAAATAAATGGTTCTTCAGATAGACATAAGCACAGTTCAGGAATTCTGTTTGGCGTATGTATGAATTCAATGCCTACTGACAGAGAGTGGTAAACAATGAACAACCAATAAATGGTGACAAATGCTCAGAAAAAAATTGAAATAAATTAATAGGTAGAGTGAATTGAAAGTCCAAATGTTAGGATTTAGAATTCATTGATCTTTGCCTCAAACTCAAGGTTAGGGACTTTTTTTTTTAAGATTTATTTTATTTATACAAGAACCGGGATACAGGCCAGATGCGCGGGAGGGTGAGAGGATTCACCAGAGACAGAGCGGGGAACAGAACAGGTAGATGGACCGAAATACACTGCTGAGGGGAGCTTTAGCGAGACAGGAGAGGTCTGGGCGCCATGTGGGACCCTCGCGGGCTGGCCGGGATGGAACCGGCACTGCAGAGGCTGCGGGCCGCTTCACAGCTCTGCGCTCAACCACGTGCGCAGCCAGGGAGGCCCAAGGTTATGGACTTTTATCTTCTTTCTCCCTTTTCAGTGCCAAAAGCCAAATTTATGTTAAAAATTTACAAATAAACGTTTTTATTAAGTTCTCTGAGAATTACAGAAATTACCCACTGCTCTTAAGCTGCTAGGGTGAGAAAAAAAATTAATCTGCCCTTTAGACAAAATCTTTGTTAATATAAAAATAATTAAAAGGAACCTACCTTTATTGTTTAAATCCATGTATTGAAAACCATAATTGTGAAAGGAAAATACGATACCATTTCAGAAAACAAAGATTATCTCATAGGATTTTTTGCTTTGTTTTTTTTTTTTTTTGTATCCCTGGTTGTGTTCTTTTAAAAATAATCACATTTTAAGTAGAAGAAAAAATTATAGATCGAAAATTAAAGGATGCATATACTAATCAAAGAGACTAAAATGGGTTATATTTATAAAAGACAAAGTAATATTTAAATCAAAGTCATTATTAGATATGAAAAGGGCCTATAATTATAATAAAACATCAATTCAACAAAAAAATTTAAACTGTATGCACTTAATAACATATCTTCAAAATTCAAAAATGTGAAAGGTGGATATGGAACATACTGTTTCACATGGAATATTTACCAAAATAGAGAATATATTAGGCCATAGCCATGTAAAAACATACTACAGACAAAAAAATCATAGAGTATGTCCATTGAACACAGTAGAAATAGATTAGAAATCAATGACAGAGACAACTCATAAAATGACCAAAATATTTGAAAATTAAGAAATACATATCTAAATAGTTCATGTGTCCAAGAACAAATTAAAATAAAAGTTGGAAAATATTTTAATTGAGCTCTTGTGAAAATGGTATTTCCAAATTTTACAGGATATACCACAAAATAGGTGGTCTACAATTAGTAAAACTGGAAAGACGTATATAAACATTTAAAGATTCAAAAGAAAGAAGGAAAACTGGCATTTTTCACAAGAATGTATAAGTTGAATATTTTTAAAAACCTACAAACTCTTAGAATGAATAAAGAAATGATGTTCACTGGGTCTACAAAAATCAATTGTATTTCCATATAAATACAGCAACTAATTGGAAAATGAAATTTACAAATACCTTTACAAGGAGATAAAACACCAACTATCAAGAAATACATCTAAATAAGATATGCAATATTTCTTACTGAAAACAATACATTACTGAGAAAATTAAAGATATTTAAATAGCATTTACTTTTGAATTAGATTCATGTGCTGTTAATGAAATGAAAGATTCAACATTATTATTTTGTCATCTCTCCTCTAATACAGAATCATTACAGTATTAGTAAAAATCCCAGCACCAACCCCAAATAGTAATAAAGAAAACAAAAGAAAGAGAGAAAACATGCCCCTTTGTTATGATGCCATCAATGTGACAGTTTACTGGATTCTCTTAGATAGGAAATGTAGCTGAATCTGCAAGCTCCTGTGGCAAAGAGGAACTTTGGAAATTTCCCTTGTCCCACAAAACTGATGCACTCTTCCTCAGGTGTTCATTTAATTAGGGAGGACAAGGCAGTAGTAGAAAAAAATCCTAGCAGTTGTGTATGTGTGTGTGTTTGTAATTTGACAAACTGATTCCAAAATTTATATGAAAATACAAGGACTGGGCCTCCCTGGTGGCGCAAGGGGTTAAACACAGCACTATGACGCTATCAGCAGCTCGCCCACTGCCCCCCTCAGCAGTGTATTTCAGTCAGTCTACCTGTTCTGTTTCCCACTGTCTCTGATGAATCCTCTCACACCTCCCCCCTACCCCGCACCTCTGGCCTGCATAAACAAATCAATCTTTAAAAAAAAAAAGAAAAGAAAATACAAGGACTAAAAATAGCCAAAAGTTGGAGGGTTTACCACACATTTAAAGCTATAGAAATGAAGATAAATTTGTATTTGGGCAAAACAAGATTAGCAGACCTAAGGAAGTGAATAAAAATTAAGTCACAGGCCTCCCCTGGTGGTGCAGCGATTGAGCTCTGGGCTGCGAAGCTGCCCCAGGCTCTGCAGCACCGGTTCCATCCCTGGCCACCAGCAAGGGTTCCACATGGCGACACAGACCTCTCATGCCGCGCCTGCTGCTCCCCTCAGCAGTGTATTTCATCAGTCTGCCTGTTTTGTTCCCTGCTGTGGCTCTCGTGAATTCTCTCACCCTCCCATGCTTCTGACTATACCCAGTGCTTGTATAAATAAATAAATAAATCTTTTTTTTCTTTTTAAATTAAGGGCCTCCCCTGGTGGCGCAGCGGTTGAGTGCTGGGCTGCGAAGCTGTCCGCAGCCTCTGCAGTGCCGGTTCGATCCCCGGCCAACGGCGAGGGTCCCACATGGCGCAGCAGACCTCTCCTGTCTCGCCCGCTGCTCCCCTCAGCAGTGTATTTCATCAGTCTGCCTGTTCTGTTCCCCACTCTGGCTCTGGTGAATTCTCTCACCCTCCTGCGCTCTGACTGTACCCAGTGCTTGTATAAATAAATAAATCTTTTAAAAAAAATTAAGTCACATGTATATGGTTACCTGATTATCAACAGAGTAGATAAATGATTTGTGGTATATTCAGATAACAAAACACTTACATAGCAATGCAGAACTGCTTCTCACAACATGAGTGAATCTTATACATAAAATGTTGAGAACAGCTATCTACACTAAGATCACAGCACCAGAAGTGACATGATCAACTCCTCCTGATGATAGATTCATAGGCAGAATACATATGTAAAAATCCACCAAGCTGAAATCATTAAGATTTATGAACTTTATATACTATACCTCAATTTTAAAAAAAGTCAAACAGAAAGAGAAGCTGCAAAAGAAAACTTAGATGAAACAAGCAAGACAAGAAGAAACAAACAAGCAAGACAAGAAGCAAACAAACAAGCAAGACAAGAAGAAACAGATGCAGAGAAATCTGAGAAGAGTTTTAAGGTTAAGAGAATGACCAACAGAGGCAGGGGTGAAGGCAAGTGAAGAATCCAGTGGATTCAGCACCAGTAGGATCCTTGAGAAGACCTTCTCCTGAAGTGGAAGATCTGAGTCCAATATTTAATGCATCTAGTTGTGAATGGCAAGAATTGTGATACACTAGTCTTTGTTAGCCAGGCAGGGAAAGACAGGGAATGGTATATACACCATTGTATACTATTTGTAGGGTAAGAGAACAGTGTTCTATTTTAAGTAAAAATGACACTGTGATATTCTTCAATATCCATAAAAATTATTTCATGTCGTTATAAATCTCATTAGATCTCAAGTGTTGAATTCATCAAAAACATCTCTCTCTTTTTTTTAATCAGAAGAGTGAGCATATACTTTCAATGGAGTTTGGAAAATTACATACTAAAATGTGAATTATTCAAGTCTTTGCTAAAAATTAACCACCCATTGACTAGTTTTTAAAAACATATCAGACTAAAGGAATATTACCCTGGCAGTGCATACTAAAATATAATTCTCACCTTAATAATTATCTTTTCTCCACCAATTCATGTGAAGACTTTAACTTAATGCAGGCTGATCATTGCTAAGTGATAAATATGCTTTTTAAATGTTCCATGAAATTTCCGTATGTAAGAGATGTAGTGGTATTTTTTCCTCCAAGTCCCTCTTTTCTGGAAACTTACCAGGCTAGGAAGTGGGTTAGTTTCATTATGTATTTAGCCTATTTGAATCACATGACGTTCACATGCATTTCATTAAAACACTCAAGATTTGTCACAGTTTTATTTTACTTTACTAGGAATGCTTGCAATACTCATGTAAAGAAGTATATCTGTGCTCCCCACCCCACCCCCTGCCCCCAATGAAAGAATATATAAACAGCAAATAACTTACTATAATGTGCTGATAAGGATCTATAAATGACATTTTGGCTTCAATTACAGGAAATCTCTTCACAGTTCAAAGGTCTTCTCTGGCACTCTAGCTTCTTTAAAATCTACAAAATAAACAATCACTATTGTTAAACTTCCTCTTGGATGCAGCTCCAAGATTTAAATGATTTGAGTATGAACCTTTGGGAGTAAAATCTATCTCCTCAGGGGATTAGATAGATTATGTTCCCTGATCCCTTATAAGTGGGGATACACACATAACTTAGGGGAAAAGTAAACATACTTTGATAGTGCTGTTTAAGCTCCATATTTATTTGTTCAAATAGACTCTGTAATTAGTAGGAAACTCCAGAATATTTTTTTTGCATTTGCTGAATATTTTATGAGAAATTCATTGAAATTACAGAAATTTAATGTTATTTTTGTACTGTGAAAATATTTTGTACTGTTTATAATTAATACTCACATGCCATTATTTGTTGTCTCAATCTGGTCAGTATTACACAGGCTCACAATAAAAAAGGAAACATTTTCTCCTTAGCTATTTGGTAAAAATTTTAAAAATATGTTCATGTTGAACTGCAACTTTAATGCTGATATTTTTTAAAAAAATGTTTGTCTATACTAAAGTACCAGTTTAATTTGGAAGCAGTGAAATGAAAATATTTTAATGGCAAAATATCTTCTATACTTTGATTTTTTCTTCTACAGTTACTCCATATTATTTAAAATAAAAAACTATTCAATGAACATTTTCACTACACTATCACAGTTATTTTTCCTTGAGACTTTATAAAGCAATACTTACGAATATTTTAATTAAAAGATAAATAGGTAATAGGAGTGTAATGTACAACATGACTATAGTTAACACTGTTGTATGACATATAAGAATGTTGGTTAGAGAGAAAGTCCTGACAATTCTCATCACAAGGAGAAATGATTTCCTTTTCTCTCCTTTCTGTTCTTTTTATTCTACTTATATGAGAAGATGAATATTAGCTGAACCTACTGTGGTTATCACTTCATAATATATATAAATCTAACCACCATGCTGTATACCTTAGCTGATGTTTATTCTCAATAAAACTGGGAAAAACTGATTGAAAATGATTCATATTCACTGACACAAATGTGAACTATTGAAATAAAAAAGTATAATAACTATTTTCATTTGATGCATCCTTTCAGACTAATTCAATGCATCTTCATATATTTACAGTAAAAAGGAAAAGAAAATTTGAAATTTTTAAAAAAGATTTATTTTATTTTTATTTTATTTTATTTATTTATGCATATAAGAACTGGGGTTTAGGCCAGAGGTACAGAGGGAGGGGATGTGTGTGAGAGGATTCACCAGAGGCAGTGGGGAGCAGACCAGGCAGATCTACTGAAATACACTGCTGAGGGGACCAGCGGGCAAGACAGGAGAGGTCTGCTGTGCCATGTGAGTAGCTCCCTGGCTGGGGATTGAACTCAGGTGCTAGATTCATGGCGCTGAGGCTTTCACCCCTGCACCACCAGGGAGACCTGAGAATTTGAATTTTTTTAATACAAAATGGGATTTCACAATATGCCTTTGATTTTATTAAAAAATCATATTCTTTCATCATTTATCAAGCAAAAAGAACAATGTGTTTATTTAGCTTTATTTGCTGATTTTCTTAAGACTTCTTTTTAGAGCAATTTTAGATTCACAGCAAAATTGAGAGGAATGTACTGAGATTCTGAGACAACTTGTTATAGCTGACAAATATATAGTGACACATCACAGTCACCCAGTATGCACAGTTTGGGTGACACTAAGGTTCTTTTTGGGCTTTGACAAACAATGATGTGTAACAACCATTATAGTATCATAAAAAATATTTTTACTCCCCTAAAAATCTCGTGAATTATGCCTATCCATTATCCCTGTCTCCAAACCACCACTAACCATCTTTCTTTCTGCTGTCTCCAAGTTTTGCCTTTCCCAGACCATCTTACAGTTGAAATCATACAGTATGTACCATTTTCAGATGGTCATATTTCACTTTGTAATTTGCATTTAAATTTTCTCCAAGTCTTTTCATGGCTTGATAGCTTTTTCTAGAGGTGAATAATATTTCATTGTCACAATATACCAGTTTATCCATTCACCTACAAAGGACATTTTGGTTGCTTCCAAATTTTGGAAATTGTAAATAAAGCTATTCTAACTAAACATCTGCATACATGTTTTTGTGGGGTCACAAGTTTTCATTTCCTTTGGACAAATATCAAGGACCAGACTGCTGGATCCTAGGATAAAGTATGTGTATTTTTGTAAGAGTTGCCAAGCTATCTTTAAAAGTGGCTGTACCATTTTACATTTGCATTAGCAATGAGTGATGTTCCTGTCACCCCATATTCTTACCACTACCGAATATTTAACTATCAGCGTCTGGATTTGGCCATTCTAGTAGGTGTTTAGTTGTCTCTCATTGTTTTGGTTTCCCCCAAGACATATGATGTGAAGTTACTTTTCATATGCTTATTTGCCATTTGTATATCTTCTTTGGAGAACTGTTTGATAAGGAAAGGTCTTTGGTCCATTTTTTAAATTGAGTTGCCTTATTGTTGAGTTTTATGAGTCTTTTGTATAATTTGGATAATATTTCTTTATCAAGTATGTCATTTGCAAATATTTTCACCATCATTCTTAATGTATAAAATATGAAGCAATATTATAAGAAAGATGAAAAGTATACATAATCCCCTATTTACAATCATATGAAATGGGAATTTTCTTTCTTTATCATTCTGATTCACCAAAGTCAATTATTTTTACCAGAAAGAAAAAAACCTATTGTTAAAATAAAACATGTATTGAACAATATATTAATTTCTTAAGCTACTAAAGCTTGATTATTTTAATTTTCCTTTTTTTTTAATTTTAGGCAATGCTTTATGGAGATACCCTGTTCTCTTTATACCATTGTATAGAAAACACTTACATAATGTTGCATATGTGTTGCATGATCTATGGCAATATTAAATTTCTGCATTTCTTCGATATTTTCCTTTAATGTGAGATGTGATTTGTTGTACTTTAAGACATAATATTCTAGTATTTAGTACAAAGCCAAATGGTATTTAACATAATGTGATAACAAAGAATACAAATATCTGTATTTTTAAATTGATATATATAATATCGGTAATAATATATTCGGCTGAGCACTTATGTCCCACAATACTCTAAAATGTTTAGATGTGCATTAAAATACTGTTATCTTCATCAGGAGACTCTCAGGTAGGTACTAACAATACAAATGTTAATTGCACTAATAAATAATCATCTTTCTTTGCTCTGCAAATTCTTAGGAATGATTTTGGAATTTTTACTATCTCTCACATACCTCATTGCCAATGCATGAGCAGATTATATTGATTCCAAATACAGAGTGTATTTTAATTTTCTCATAGTGTATTTGATCAGGATGGAATGTAGGTACCATTTTAAATCAATTTTTTAAAATCAGGGTTAGTCCAAATCATCATCCTGATTTTATCTTAATGAATTATAGTAGATCTTTGATTAATATTATTTTCTTCCACATCATTTCATTATAATATTGATGAGAAAATGAACTCCTGGTCACAATGACTATTTGAAATGACGTTATTCAGAGATCTAGCTTTGTTATATTTATTTTTTTCACTTTAAGTCTTATTTCCAAGAATATATTGATGACAGGTGAGGATTTGCTGTACTATAATTTTTGTCTTACATTTGCTTATTTTAAATATAATAAGAAAAATTGCTGATAACATTAGTAAATTAATAATTGCCTTAGTTATCATATTTCTGTTATTTTAGTTGGATCTGGCAGATATTGTCAATAACTTTCATATCTTTACTCCAATAGCATTTTCTCAGAGAAGTCTTTTAAATGTCATAAATTCTGCTTTCCTACTTTATTGCCATCTAACATCTATTATGAAGTTTTCATTGTGTTTCCTTTGCCCCACTCCCCTCATCCATAATTAGCCTGTGAAAACAGATTTTTTTCATGTGTTTTATTCTTTGTAATATTCTTAGCATCTATGCGACATATATGGCCAATTAGTAGATATTTTTAAATGAATGAATGAATGGATAGATATATGAGAAAATATTTAAAATACTATCCTGATCCTTTAGCAGAAAATTAGAAATGCTAAACACGGTGTACAGTGTGGCTTTCATACATACTTACTGCAAATCAAAACAGAAAACTTTTCACATCACAATATAATGCCCGAATATAAGTAAACACATATGTAAATAAACGATGGAAACAATTATAAAGTGATAGTTTCATCAAGAACAATGTATCCTCATAGCAGGAATCTAGAAAACTTAAATTAAGGACCAGGAAAATGAATAACTGTAAGAAAGTAAAAATCACAATCAACAAACAGCCAGAGACACTCTATGAGGGGTGGGGGGCGGGGAAGGGAGGGATTGGGGTCAAAATAAGGGGGTTGCAATTGTATGGGGAATATACAAATAAAATTAAAAAAAAAAAAACAACAATGTATCCTGATCTTTATTCTATTTCATTTGTTTAAATCCAATAGCAGGGCCTCCCTGGTGGCTCAGGGGGTTGAGTGCAGCGCTGTGAAGCTCTCCGCAGCTTCTGCAGACAGATTCAATCCCCGCCAGCCGTGGAACAACCCACATGGCGAGCAGACCTCTCCTGTCTCGCCTGCTGCTCCCCTCAGCAGTGTATTTTAGTCAGTCTGCCTGTTCTGTTCCCTGCTCTGTCTCTGGTGAATCCTCTCATGCTCCTGCTCATCTGGCCTGTACCCCAATTCTTGTATAAATAAAATAAATCTTTAAAAAAACAAACAAATAAATATAACCAACCCACGAAATGAATTTTAAACTAAGAAGTTTGAAAATACTGATGTAAAGGCTTCAAGACAGAGTTTACAGATACTTCCTCTGCCTATCCCATCACCCTTTCCTTTTATTTTCTGCTATAGTCATACTATTTTCTTTCCTTTTTTTCAAGTGTAGCATACTGTCTTCCAGCCAGGGCTTTACCTGCCTCTTCTCTCCATCCCTTACGCAACAAACATATAAGGCATATCTATT